AGTGGAGGATGAAGTTTTAGATGAGTCTTATAGAAACTTTCTAAATCCGCTACTGGTGTCATAAGAAGTTAAGTGAAAGTTTCTGGATGGGAGAGTGGGGCAAGGTTAGCTGATCTAACACCTGTACCTATGCAACCCTACACACCTTTTGTTAACTGACCCTAAACTTTAATTAGCACCTTCCTTTTCATCTTTCTTTGAAAGGAAGAACCTTATGAATGAAGCATTTGTTTTTCACAGGTTATTGTGTCCAAGGTTTTTGTAGAGTTACGAGTTATATCAGGTTTGTCAAATGCTTTTTTTAAATCTCAGGTTATAAAGTTCTATATTTTCATAACATGTATCTGCATTATTAAAAAGTTTATCATTAGTTTCTAGACTAAATATTTTATTTATTTATTTAATATTGGCTGTGGGGCAAAATGAGCTCGAGGCTTAGGGGTCAGTTTAGTCAGTGGTTTATCTAACAGCAAGACAAATAAGTGGTCTTAAAATTTATGCGGCATCAAAAAATGAATAGATCATAATAACTACATTGGATAGTTGCTTGTGCCACATAAGAAAATAAGATAGACACAATGCACCCTTTTTGTCAACACTCATCAGTTCTAGTATTTTTCTTTTTTATTCTTCATTTTGAACAACGATACCTTCAAAACATGTGACGTGCGAGTCTTTATGTCTCTGCCTCCAAAGTTTGCTATTATAAAAATATTTGCAGCATTTTATTCCATGTTGGAATAACATGGAATAAAATGTTATTCCAACATGGAATAACATTTTATTCCATGTTGAGAAACATGCAGACAGCTGCATGTTTCTCAGCTGCAATGTTTCTCAGCTAAACATGCAGCTGTCTGTATAAACTGAAAGTAGAAAGAATATCATCTCCATCTTCTCACGATGTTGAAAAGCATGAAAAAGGTATTCAATTTAAGACTTCAGTGTTTGTTTGTTTTTCTTAAGCGTTGGTAATGCATATTTGTTGTATGTATTACAATGAATAGGGAGGGAGAGCGAGGCTGGGCTTCTCTGCTTAGGCTGTTGCCCCCGCGACCCGGCACCGGATAAAGCAGAAGAAGATGGACGCAATCTTCCCTCTAAGCCGCGTGCGTGCGCAATTGCGCACTCCTGGCACAGTCTCTGTGCACAGAAAATCTGCGTTGTGCACAAAAAAAAAACATGACACATGAAAAATTAGAGGTAACATTGGATGGATGGATGGATGGATGGATGGATGGATGGATGGATGGTATTCCATTTTTAAAATTAGAATACAAATGTTTGGTCACAAACTTGAGTTGTCATATACATCTGTGAGTTTATGTGCACAACAGTATGCTCATGTACACACATGAAGAATTTGACCTTTGTTCCTTAAATATATGGCATTGTTTCTGACTGATATGCTGCTTAGAGTCTTTTGCTCCTTGCTTTTAAATCAAATGGCACTCTCGACATAAACACAAGCTACTGCAGCCCAGCTGTCTTAGCTGAGGAAACAAAGGTACATTTGTTCCTTTTTCGTAAAATATTGTGATGATGTTACATTATATTAGGCAGTCAGTTGCCCACATTACACTGTAACTATCACCAGTTTGGTTATCTATTTTGAACACCTCAGTTGGAAAAAATTCTAAATGGTTTGTACAGTTGGCCACAGGTCTGCATGTCAACGGGAGGTAGAAGATTGCTTCATATTTTGCTATATATAACGTTAGTGTTTCTAAAAAAATTCTTTATTAACAAAGTAAACTAAAAATACACTTTATCATATTTTATAGTTTTAAAATTGGATAACAACTGACTTGAACGCAATATGAAATGATGTGTTTTCACTATAGGAACTTTGATTTTTGATAGGTTTACTAATCTGAAAGCTTTCTAAATTTTATTTTTGTAGTTTTCCATTTGTAGATAGTGCGATTCTCTGATGTGTATGTGTTTCTACCTGTGCTGATGCTAGCATGACTAAAGCTAGCTAAGTACCAGTTAAGCAAGGCAGAAGCATGAACTCATAAAATGAACAGAATCATAAGAATATAACATGACGAGCACCGCAAATGTAACAAAAATATGTTGACATCAAATGGTATGTTATTTGAAATCTATATTAAAAAATGACACATTGATTTTTTCCAATTTCTTTTATTTATTTATTAATTTATTTATTTTTACCAGTTGTCCAAATTAGTCTGTGATCGGCCTTAATGTCCCTGGAATCAAATTTATATACAACTAAATATGACTTGCAAATATGTTTTAAATGGATGATTTCTCATTTAATCACGAATCATCCAGTTACATATTTGGTGAGTCCTAAATTTGATGCCGCTGAACTTTTCAGTGGTTAGTTTTTAAAAAGCCCCCAAATCCCCTATGAGTAAGCACTTGGCGACAGTGGGGAGGAAAAACTCCTTTTCAATGGGGCGAAACCTCCGACAGAACCAGGCTTAGGAAGGGGTTGCCATCTGTTGAGACCAAGTGGGGATCAAATGTTCACTGACAATTGTTTTTTTTTTGTTTTACACTCTCAGAATGAGAGAGGCATTGAGGCACCACCTTCTGCCCCCCGGCATCACTGCTGTGCCCCCTCCTTCTGACAGGAACTGTCTACAGAGCAGGTATGAGTGATGCCTGAGTGCACATACACAAGTCATAAGTTCCTGGCTCTCACGGCTCCTCTGCAGAGGGTTTCCCTAAGAAGGGGGGCATCGCAGGGGGCGCCAGGGGACGGGGGGCTGTGCCAAGAACAGGAACTTCTGAGGTGTGTATGTCCTGGTGAGCCTCTACCTTTTACAGGTGGTTGCAGTCTGGATACAGACACTTCAAACCTCATCTGAGGACAAAAACTACAAGAACAACATAAAAATGGAGAAAACATAGTTTCTAAACATGCAAGGTTTCAGGAGACGGCAGCACTGCAGAGGTGAAGACAGGCAGCTGTTTTAAATACACAAACACTTACATAGACATACACACACTCACAACAACAGAAGAGAAACAAAGAGAGAGAGAGAAAGTGGTTATCAAGCACATGAGGTGAGGACATGCAGCTTGGTGAGTCTGTCTGTCTGATTGTGAATTTCTTTGCAAAATAAAAAGCTCACAAATATATTGTAAGAACAGGCTTTCATTTTTTTTTAGTATATGCTGAATTAACAGTATAAAAGCTACTCTACCTGAATTTCACAAAAACATTAAATAAAATACAAGTTTTAAAGGAAAGGTTTTAATAAATGATTGTTTAAAAAAAAAAAACTAACCAAAGTAGAAGACAACTGTTTAGTCGAAAAGTGTTAAACATTCAAGATATTCTCGCTCATAAAAACTTATTTCATAATGTAAACTAGGACATGTAGAAAACTTTCATACTTACTGAAAGATATTTATTAACACTATCTAATTACCAGCATATTTTTCTGAGTGTTACTGAATATGTGTAGGCAGTAGGACGTTGGTGGTTGCCTAGGGGACAGAATGTCAGCTATAGTTTGTTTTAAATTCAGTTTCATTGCTGAAACTAAGAATCAACAGGCTGTAGAGGGAGACTTTAATTGCATTCAAATCCAAGATGGAAAAATCTGTGCAGATTTTGCATATATTAACCATTCATTGGAATAATCCAAGTATACAAACTAAATATCACAGGAGAGCTTATGAGGCCACAAACATCGACGAGGTCCAGTTCAGAGACACAGGTTTAGCAGAAGTGAAGCCTAGAGGACAGCTGGCAGCTGCACATGTCTGTCAGTACCCACCTGTCACAAAGAGCAGCCTTTTCATGCCTGACTCTGCATAACTGTAAGCGCTAAAAACTGTTAAATGATGAATAAAGAAATCATCATGTGCATAGTTGTTTTAAGGGACAAATAAACTAAACCCACAATTTCATTTCAACATTATGAGTAAACTAATGCAGGTATGAGCATCAGGCCTATGCTGTTGTTGTCTCATACTGTTATGTCCCTTGCTGTTAGCTTGTTAGCTTTCCTGTTTCTTGCTTTTTGCCTGTTGTTCCCTCTGATTTTTTTGTCTTCCAGCTGTTATTATCCAGACTTTGAATTCGTTATTTAATTTGTTTGTAAGGTGCAGATTAAAAATTTAGATTTATTTTTTAAAAAAAATCAGCATTTTTGAGGGTTCAATTATCAATATTTAAATCCGCCCTAAAGAAAACTTAGTAACTGTTTTATTTAACAGTATCTTGATCGTGTTAGCGCACTGGTAAAGTTTCAAATGTTTGCATTATGCTGCAGTCACACAAGGGAAAACAGTGACTGGTGACCACGGCACAACCGTGCGCAATGAACTTGCGATCTTATTGGAAATGGTTGCTGAGAAGAATGGAGTCACATTTCTGTCTTGAAAAACGTTGGTGTATCAAGAATTTAATAATATGCCAATAAGATGATTCCGTCTTTAATGATGATATTGTATTTAATTGTCAGTTTGACCTCAATCTGGGATGATAAGATGATTCACTGAGATAAACCTGTGAAAATTGCAAATCTGTTGTCTTTAAAACACACAGAAATTCAAATGAATTGCTTACATTCAGAGTCTAATCAGAACTCAGTTTTGAAACAAATAGTTGCGTAGTTGCTGCAGAACAGTAGTTTAACTTTATAATGACATAAGTGCACAGCAACCTTGTTTTAATAGGAATATAACCAGAAAAAAGACACTTGGAAACTAACTTAGATGAACCTCTTTTTGCAAAGAAACATGATACAGATGAGTTGCAATAATCGGCGTACACTGACTCAGACTGATTGCAACATGTCAACAATCTGCCTGCATTTCTACATTTAATGGGAAATATTTGTAATTCAGAAGTCTGTCTGACAGCATTTGGAAACACTTCATCTCCCACTAGGTGACCTGTGCCATCGCCTTGTCAGACACATTGAATGCTCATCCCCACCCAGAGACTGTCCATGCAACACGGTCTCTGGGTGGGGATGAGCACTACTTTTCATCAGTTAGCAAATGCGAAAAAAATTAAATGCAATCGGCAGTCAAACTAGATGCAAGAAGTATATCTCGTCTTTCCTTAGCTTTAGGTCCATTTAAATAGAAAAAGAAACAGTACATTTACAAAAAATGCGAGCTACACCACTCAGTTTTGGGGAGGAAGGACACAAGTTTATGTCAAAAATGTTTATTATCCATGGCTGTACAACAGAGGCAAAGAAATGATCCTTGATAGCCACATTTTTAACATGCTGACAGCAAAAATTGTTGTCTTTCATTTTTTAAAATTGTAAACAGAGAGTAAAGAATTTCAAATACACGTTGTCATGTAGAACAAATTAAAAACATGAAATGCATTCAATACCATGTGGCGAGATTGTGAATAAATTACATACTGTACATTTGCTCAAAATGAATGAAAACAAAATGCAGAATTAATGAGTGTCAAAGAAAATATGTTACTGTTACATTCATATTTAGCTCTCTGCCAGCAATGCAGCTTTTCACAGTTTTCAATGCACAGAAACAGAAACAAACATCTGAGGTACAACAAAAGACAAATTTTCTTCTGGTAGATCACATAACTGTATTTTTATACACAATACAGACCACAATATAATAAGCACACAATATACTGTATTGTCTGTATTTTTCAGAACAGCAATCAGTCCGAGGGGAAATGACTGACTGCTGGTTGCGAAGATCTTGCAGTCGTCTGGAGAATATTCATACCCAGGATTTTGATGACGTATGCATCAGCAGTGGCATGTTCTAATGAGGCAAACAAGCAAAATACAAGTCTGACACACTCTTCCACTGCTGTCTGTCACTTCCTTTCCTTTAATGTCAAATGCACCTCCTTGATCAAGAAGATTTTGCTGGTATCTGTCCTCCCATCTTCTGTAATGCAAGCTTCATTATTCCCCAACTTGAAAGAAAAAAGAAAGTTATTATTTTTTCATCTCTCACAGCGACCTCATGTGAAAAAAGGTAGCTGCAGGTTTAAATTTTCCTGTGAAGCTTGGAAACTCAAGAGGACCAACATTAAAATTTTCTAACGCTGCTGTTATTACCTGCAACCACTCAGATATCCACCAGAGGACAAGCAGTTCATTAAACCATCATCTTAACAATCTATCATGTTCAGACCGCCTGAGGAAGGAAAAGAAAAAAAAAGAAAAAAAAAAAAGAAAAAAAGGAAAAACTTCTACTCGCAGGCACTTAAGGACAGCAGGGAGGAAATGTCAGCCAAGAGGCAAATTAAATCTCATAGCTATTTGTTCTTACAAAGAAAATCAGGGGAGATTTAAATGTCGTTTGACAGGAAATGCACATGAGAAAGAGTCTCATCTCTGCGGCTGTTCAGTCATCAGCGATCACTGCAGAGAAGCTGCTTTTCCTTTTGCCCCCAGATGCAGAGAATGACCCCACCTTTAGAAGAACATTTTGGAGGATTAAACTCCAAGGATGAGCAATGTTTCTTACTCTGTTACTCTTTTTAAAGCAGGAAGCGAAAGATCCTTCGAATTGCTTTCAACTGCTGGACGCTAAAATGTTTCTATGATTCTGTTTTTCATACGTTATTCCCAAAAATAAATTCAGTTTTGTGCAAAATGTGTGTTGTTAAACCAAGATTAAATACTGACCTTACTCAGTTGTCAATGTCCGATATGTGGTTCTCTATCTGCAGTAAAAGAAATAAGATTGCTTTAAATCAGTCAAGAATTAATTTTTATAACTAGGCAGCAACATAGCCTTCTCTTTTCTAGCTCAATCCACAGTCATTAAAAAAAATGAAACACTTCCAGTTCTAAGTCTGAAATACACATCAGTACATATTTAAAAAATTAACTGGTTCGCACAAGTTCTGTTATTCATTTAACAAAAACCATAAACGTGAAAAAATGGATCCATGCTGCATTTTATTAACAGTTCAAGCTGCTGGTGGTGTAATGGTGTGGGGAATATCTTCTTGACACATTTAGTAACACCTGAGCATTGTTTCAATGACAAATAACACTCAGAGTATTGCTGCGGACCATGTGCATCCCTTCATGACCACAGTGTTCCCAGGAGGATGACGCACCATGTCACAAAGCTCAAAATGTCTTAAGCTGATTTCTTGAACATGGCAGTGAGTTCACTGTACTCAAATGGACTCCACAGTCATCAGAACCTGGTCAATACCTGAGGATCTTTCATGTCCTGATTTTTAAAACCTTAGAAATGGCTGTACTTTTTTTGTTTCGCAAATCTTTTTTTTCTTCTTTTTGTTTGTCCAAACCCTGAAAATGTGCATCAATTCACATCTCATCCATGTCCTCTGAGACACATTTTATACAGTGTGTTTTCACTAAATCAATATAGGGATTTGGGGGTTTTGTTTATTCTAAGCCTTTTGGCCACAGTATCTATTGGATTAACGCATATAAGCTTTAATGATTAACAGTAATCAATAGTTTAGTCTACTTGCAGAATGAAGCCAATAAACCACCCAACAGTGGGTCCAGATCTCATAAAACAGGAAGCAGGTATGATTATATAACCTTTCTTTAGTGTCAAAGTAAGGCAATAGTTTTGAGAAATAAAACTGTCACAGTAATAAAACTGGAAAGCAAATGTTCAGTTAGATGATTTATGATTTTTAAAGTAAAAATTGGTGATATGCTGCATGCATTACACTCTTTTACTGCATTACAGTAAATTAACACCACCCAAAAAGTTTCACAAGTGTATCCAGAGAGTGATGTAGTTAGTAGCAGATCAGTTTCAAACACTCTGTGAGAAACTTTGCTCCGATTTCATTCTGCACACGGCGAAGCGTCTGCAAACAGCAGCCCAACTTCACCGAGGAGCTGGAGGTGCATAGCTTGTCACCTGCAGCTCTTCATCTAACAGCTTAGTGTTGTTGCTCCGTCTTGTTCCGTTACTCCAGCTGTCTTGTTTCATAGATGAATGACAGCAGTAATTACTGAGGTAGCTGACAGATGTGTCCCATTTCTTGTAAATATCTTGTGAAAGTCAAGTCTTGTTTTGTCAGTTAAATTATTTTTAATGCTTGGTGGCATCAGAAGAAAATGTTTGGTTTGCCATGGCAGATTTCAATACAGCAGTTTTTCCAAGTATGTTGCCGTGGAAACTAAGTATAAACGCTCTCTTCATCAGTGATCGTGCGTTACCTCACTCAGCGATAGATAGTGACTTAAAAAAAAAAGTCTGGCACTTTTAACTGTATAATTAAATTATTTACTCTTTTATTAAAATAAACAATGCCTTCAAAGATTTATAAAACTTCTATGCCTGAGGCTTTGCGTATAACACAGAGAAGAAGTTTGCCTTCGAGTTCTTCTGGCAGATGGGCTCAGTACCACACATTTTATTCAATCTGAGGGAAAATTATAAGGGTCTCCTCCCAAACCTAAGTTCTGTTGCCTGAACCTGACCAAACTAAGAGTTTAAAAATGTAAAATACATTTCCGAAGACAAACTCCTCCCATTCAGGTTTGTCTGAGACAGGAAAGGAAAGCCAAAGTATTCACAGACACCGTTACGTGCTGCTGACTTTGGTGTTTTCATGTGATTTGTTCAGTTTCATGGCGGTTTGTGATAGAGACGACCTCGAATTATTTTGTCATTGATGATATTTATTACTTTGTAATACAATATTAATTCAAAACACATTAAGATTACGCTTTAAAACAACAGCTACTACTTTTCTTGGATGCCACAACAATGTGTCCCCACTTTGCAGCATGTATGTTGTTCAGACAGAGACAAAATACACCTCACTCAAAAATAACATAAAATAAAAAAATTGCCCTTCTGACTTCAACTAATTTAATTATATTTAATTTATTCATGTAATTTTGTTGCATAAGTACAATGTAAAATGTTACATTTAATGGGATCTGGTCAAACTAAACTTAATTGATTGATACACATTTAGTTTGTACCAGGCACATTATCTTTAATTATTAATTAATTAAATAAATTCAAATGTAATTTTAGATATATTTCAGAGTATTGTGTTGTGTTTATTGCGGGTGAAGAATCATTTTCTGAGTGTTTTTACTCATATAGTTTAGACTTTTCAAATCATGCTGATTGTCACAAAAGACAGCAAAACTTTGTATCCATCACCACGAACAACCTGATTACTTTTTCATGACCATTTCACCTTTTAGTTTTATAAGAATCCTGTATGACTCAAATGGTTCCATCTAAGGCAAAATTATTTATACAACAGAGTTGAATGTACATTATACTTACTGTTATTATTGGCATATTATGTCAGTGGAAAACATTTTCCGCATCATAAAATAGATAAACTACTATGCAAGAGTCTTGAAACACCCCTCATTTCTTTATATCTTGCTTGGGAGATGGGATGGGAAATGTCAAAATATACATGGATATACAGAAAAAGAGTTTTTATAATTTTGCTGTGCTTGAAAGTTGATATTTGGTGTGAGCACCTTTATTTTTCAACACAGCCTGAAGTCTCACAGACAGCTTTCATGTACTATTCCTGAAGTATTCTTCAGGAATAGTTCTCCAGGCTTCTTTAAGGACAATCAAAGTATTCTTTGAATGTTGGGTGCCTTTTATTCTGTTCTCTCTCAAAATGATCCCACACTGCTTCCAAAATGTTGAGGTCCAGGTTCTGGGAGGGGTGTGATTCATGACTGTGTTTCTCGTCAGCTACTATCGGCTTTTACGGCATTGACAGTGTATTTGGATCACTGTCGTGCTAAAAGAAAATGACATCAGCTGTGTTGCAGATGGTATTGGTGGATTGAAATTTGATGGTTCTGTTCTGCATTCATAGTTCCATGTAGACGCTCACCACTATACCTCTCTCCTGACCTCTGTGCATACTGGCAATGACTTACACTAATGATGACAACAATTTGGATTCATCAGTCTACAGGCCTTGTTGCCAACGATTTTCTGTCCTGTTCTTGTGTAATTTGGAAGCTAGGGAAGTACTGCCAATACTATGCCTCTACGCGGGGGCGGGGGGGAGTGGACTTTGAGTGTCCAAAGAAAAACTTTGAAGGACCTTCAGAAAGCCTGCACAAATATGAATCAAGTCCACTTTAAAAAATTACAAGAAAATCTGTAGGTAATTAGGACTTCTTGTGACTTTTGCAGACACGCACACACACACACAAACACACACACACACACACACACACACACACACACAAATATAAATCAAATAACTTCTTATTAATACTGGACATGGGTACTTGGCCTGCTCACCATGTCGCTTGTGCCTTCATCTTCAAAGTCGTCTTCACCACCGTCTGTCATCTCCCCTGCCTCAACCTCAGCCGTCCCCTCCACTTCCTCCCCCCCAGAGTGGTCTGCTGCATCACCATGGAGACACTCGCACACCTCCTCCTGCTTCCTCTGCATCTCTGGCAAAGGACATCAAGAGACAAAGACTGGCAGTTAACATCAGAGCATAATAGATTTATTGATTTTCTATCTTGTTTTGATAATAGAAGAACCTGTATTTCAGACAAGTCTCCGAACAAGCATTTAATATGTTCAGTATCATTCCGTCAACTCTCCTCAAAGGACGTTTGTGTGGCTTTTATTTCAGTACATGGCGGCCTCTCTCAGCATCTTCCCCATTTTTCTATGCATGCTCATCAGACAGGTCCTCCCCTCCTGGCTGTCAAATCTTACCGGCATCAGAGCGATGTTGCCTCTCTATCTTCTCAAGCCTTCCCAGCAGTGAGTCGATCTTGGTTTTGATTTGCGACAGTTCCTTTTTGATTGTTAGAAGCTGATCTGTCTTCACTGCAAGCATACATTAATAAAGTTAAAAAGCATAATTAATGGGATGTTCTACAAGAGACACTGTGACAGCAGCAGACTCTTCTCAACAGTCAAGTTCTTCACTGAAAATGTGGCACAACTGATGAAAAGCAGGAAATCTCACTGTGTTGCATTGAGGGGAGAATAATAATAAGCATGCGAGAGTTTGAACAGTACAGCAGCTGCTAAAGCCATAATCTCACTGTTGTTGCTACCAGCGAAAATGTTTCTTTCTTAGCCGTGTTTTACCTCAATTTTTGTAGAGGAAAGATCTGGCTCTTACTATTAGATTTACCACCTTGTTACTAGCTTAGATGATGAGAAAACAGCTGCCTGCTTGCTGTAAAACAATAGAAAGTGATGAGCAATATGATGCAGAAATGCTACACAGAGCAGAAAATAAAAAAAATAACCAAACAACTAGCTGAGACTCTGATCTAAGATTTATTCTGTATAATTTTGGTTTATTCCCAACATTTCTGGTGTGCTTACTTTTGTTTTAACACGAATAAAAACTCTGGTTTAAATGTGTTTCAATGCATCTCAAGAAAAGAAAAAAATTTACTGTTTATCCCAGTCATTCCTAAAGAGTGTGGCGGTGGTCTGCAGGAGGTCAAAGTTTCTCATGTACAAACGTGTAATTAGCTTGAAGCTACAATGGAACAGCTTAAATATTTGCATCAAAAAGGTCATCAGAACTAAAGAAAAGATGTGAGATTCAAATGATTTGTTTTTCTTTTCAAATGGCAAGGGAAAGGAAAGTGTTTAATGAAGATTCAGCCTCAACAAGCAAATCACCAGAAGATCAAAAGGAATCAGAGAAAACACATCAAGTCTTGTGTTTCAATCAGAGTTTTGATTAAAGGTTCAGTCGGCGCAGGTTTAAAATTTGGCCAAGACATCCTTAAGTTTGACAATGGCTGGCTTTGTCACCTGACTGAAGATTAATCAGCAATGATTGTTAAAATCAAATGATAATAAATGCCATAATAAAGTAATTTTTCAAGAAGAAAATATTTAAAACCTTCACTTTTCCCAGCTTTCAAATGTGACAATTTCCTGTGAATCTGTTTGGTTCGCTTAGGAAGTCATTATGGTCATTTTTTTCCTCCCCATTTTATTGCATTATTTGACAGTTTTTGCCTCAACAATCAAAATAGCTTGTACATTAACCTCTTATTAAAATCAAAGGTGGTGTTTTTAAAAAATTACTCATTTATTCAAAAGTAAATCGCATTCAACGACAGTTTTGACATGAAAATGATTCAGCATTTGGATATCACTACAGTTTTTCATCTCCAATGTGAGGATAAGCCACTTTTCTTTGTTTTGTATGAAAATCTCTTATTATTTTGGGGTTTTGGACAGTTTGGTGAAAAAACAAACAAACAAAGTACTGTAAATGTCAGTTTTGGCATCTTAAAAATTACAGTTTTTTTTTTTTTATGCACTCACTAGACACTTAATTAGGTACACCTTACTAGGACCAGGTTGGACCTCCTTGTGTCTTCAGAACTGCCTTCATTCTTCATGTTATTCAACAAAGACTCATTAAGATGCTGGAAAGATTCCTCAAAACCTTTGGCTCAACGCTGACATGATAGCATCACACAGTGCACACTGCAGATTTGTTGGGTGCACATTCATGATGCAAATCTCCCCCTGCATCGCATCCCAAAGGTGCTCTATTTGACTGCGATCTGGAGACTGTGCAGGACATTTGAGTACAGTGAACTCACTGTCTTGTTTAGGACACCCGTTTGAGAAGATTTGAGGTTTGTGACATGGCTTTATATCCTGCTACAACCAGCCATTAGACGATGGGTACACTGTGGTCAAAAAGGCACTGGGCATGGTCAATAACGATACTCAAGTAGTCTGTGGCATTTAAACAATGCCCAGTTGATATTAAGAGGCCCAAATTGAGCAAAGAAAATTTCCTCCACGCCTTGGGGGCGACAGTGGTTCAGGGGATTGGGAAGCTCATCTGTAACCGGAAGGTTGCCCTTTCGATCCCCCTGCTCTCTCTGTCCTGGTTGTTGTGTCCTTGGGCAAGCCACTTTACCCTACCGCCTACTGGTGTTGGCCAGAGGGGTCGATGGTGCAATATGGCAGCCTCGCTTCTGTCAGTCTGCCCCAGGGCAGCTGTGGCTACAACTGTAGCTTGCCTCCACCAGTGTGTGAATGTGAGAGTGAATGAATAGTGGGATTGTAAAGCGCTTTGGGTGCCTAGAAAAGTGCTATATAAATGCAATCCATTATTATTATTATTATTATTATGACAGCACCAGCCCGAACCATTAATTCAAAGCAGGATAGATCCATGCTTTGTAAAATTGTGAAATTCTGACCATACCATCCAAACTTCATTGCAGAAATTGAGATTCACCAGACCAGACAATGCTTTTTCAGTCTTTTATTATCTGGTTTTGCTCAGCTTATGTGAATTGTATCCTCAGTTTCCTGTAGTGCATCTGCTTCGAGGTTAGGCATGTTGTGTGCGGTTGTAATGTCGGCTTATTTGATTAACTGTTGTCTTCCTAATACCTCAAAGCAATCTGGTCATTCTCCTCAGTGCTCTGGCATCAACAAGGCATTTTCCACCAAAGGACTGTCTCTCACTCAATGTTTTCTCTTTTTCAGATTCTCTGTAAACCCTGGAGCTGGCTGTAGATCAGGAATTTCTGACATATTGAGATGGTTGGTCCCATGATGCCATGTTCAAAGTCACTAAAATCAGATTTCTTCCCTATTCTTAAATTTGGTTTGGTGAAGTTCAAAACCAATTTGTGAATTTGCTTGTAATTACATCTAATACAGTGCATATGTTCCTAATATAACAGATTTATTTTGACCATGTCATGTCTAAAATCTTTGAGTCGCTGCCATGTGATTGGCTGGCTAAATATTTGAGTTAAAGAGCAGTTGAACGGGTGTACCTAATGAAGTGTCCAGTGAGCGTATACTCTAATCAGTTCAAGAGGGACTATCAAGACTACTAATGAAAATAATCAGGAATTGCAGGCCTGACCTTTTTCGATTATTAACCTTTTTTTTGTTTCCAGAGCTTAGCATTTACACTTGCTGAGTACATTTCCATCATAATGGGCAGAAATGATACCCGCCAACATGTGTTCAAAGTTATGATAATAGGAAATGTTCTTTGTAGCGGCTGAATTTATTTTCTTTGCCATTAACTTGACTCAAACCCCAAAAATGGACATGGAGGTAAGTTCAAAACAAACAATCACATAAAAATCACATTTAGAAAACATCCTTTGGAAATCACAATATCCTTTAGAGATGGCAGGATACTATAGGAACAAAAAGGGACAAAGAAAGACCACCAAACATACGTTTAGGGCCAGTGATGGAAGAGCCGACATTGAGTGCTCGGGAGGAGGAAGAGGAGGAGGAGGAAGAGGAAGAGCAAGCCCTGACTGGAAAAGAGGATTTGGCTCTGCGTGTGGTTGGGACAACTAGCCGTGAGCGTTTGATGGGGATCACAGCTCGGGTCGGAGGCACAACGCGGCCGTGGTACTCAAACAGTCTGAAGACACATGAAGAATAAAGTTGTAGCAACAGAAATATTCCAAGAGTATTACAATGCAGAGAAATAACAAAACAAAAAAAGTGGGGATATAACTCTGTAATCACTATGGGAGTTTTTGTGGAGTTTTTTTCCCTTGTTTTTGGTCAGATGTTTTTATTCAGGCAGCAAGGAACACTTACAAAGCACCTAATAGACATGCTGCAAAAGATGTCTGAATGATAGAGGTACACACTGAACAATGCCACAGCAATTCAATCAAAGCCTGTTCCCAGTTGCCTTTGACATATCAAATTGCCAAAATAGCAATAATGACTCAAAGCTGAAGGATTCTGCTCTTGGGGATATTGCAAAGAAGAGGAAGTAAACAAACCAATGAAAATGTCAGAATGAAGATACATTCTGTGCCTTGCCAGCGCAAATGACCAGCCGGGGGACTATCTGACATTCAGTACCCGGCTATGCGGATAAAAGCATCATTAGTAAGCCCAACGGAGAGGAATAAAAACCTCCTCAATATGACATTCATTATGCCTGTGATAATGTAGTTACTTTGCCTCAGAAGGAAATGGGGCCATTCTGCTCAAAAATCATCTTTATTCAAGATGGGAAATGGGGAGAAAGGATGTGTATACTAAGGGCAAAATATCGGGAGGAAAGGGACTGGTTGAAAAAAGAAAAGTTGCAAATGACAAAGACGTGTGTTATTTACCAGTGAGCCAACGTTTTTTTTTTAAACATACCTACTGTAGAAGTCATCTCTGTAGTAGTCGTAGTCAAATTCATAGCCACTGTGGAAATAAAAGAGAACATTCCTATTTTACTTTGATTTTTGTGCACAAAAACATAAAACAATAAAGGAAGAAAATGACGGTGCAAATACATTTAGACTGAATTCTTTATTCAGTGTCCTAAAAGACTATTACTGGAAAATTCCTTCTTGTTAAGATTTGATGTGTGGTTTCTTAACTGAGCTGAGCACTGGAATCGAATTTCCTTTAATCCATTTAAAAAATGAAATGCACCAACAACAAGTTTGCCTCATTATGTTGCATTTCTTTCTTGGTTGCTATAGCGGTAAACTTACCAGATTCCCATCAAACTAGAAAGCAAGGTAATGCAGGCTATTTCTACAAACAACTGCTGACAACAGGAAGCTTCCATTCCCGGCTACAAATTACACTGTGATAAATCTGGCACAACAGGAGTGGCCTTAAGACTTCTGCCACGATATGCACGAGTTCCTGATGGTTGCATTTTGATTACTTTTCAAAAATTCAGGATAAAAGAAAGCAGGAATCAAAAGAGCTTGAGAGACTGTGGGCAGCTCAACACTGCTCACAGCTACACGGCTTACTCTTCCATTTTGGAAAAAGAAAGGAAGCAGCGACAGTAAAACTCGAACAAACTTGATAAATGTAGAGAAATTAAAGCACTGTCATTTACAATATTGTGCCTAACGAATTCATTTTCATGAGTATTTTCAATAACTGTGTGTGCGTGTGTGCGTGTGTGCGTGTGTGCGCGTGTGTGTGTGTGTGGGGACGGGTATTAACATCTTCATGTGGACCAAAAATTGGTAGTTTACTATACTTGTGGGGACAAACAGCCCTCGTGGGCTGTTTGAAGGCATTTTTGAGACTCGAAATGTGGTTTTTGTGTCAGGGTTACAATTAGGTTCTGATTAGTTTTAGGGTAAGAGTCAGGGTTAGGCATTCATTTTTGATGGTTAGGGTAAGCGGCTAGGGAAAGCATTATGTCAATGAGATGTCCCCACAAGGATATAAATACACACAGTGTGTGTGTGTGTGTGTGTGTGTGTGTGTTGCATAGTGCTGCCATCTTCCCGCCCCTGACACACAGGTCTGAGAGAGCGATCTCTTTTCTGGACTTGGAGGCAAAAATCAGGCACAAATGTTTGAATTCTTTTGCAAATTTAAAAAGAAGAAGAAAATCTGAGCTCTATAATGATGCAGGGCACTCTGTTCCCATTGCATTGCTCACTGTGATGTGAAGAGTATTTCATCTATTGTTACCCCAGCACCTCGGTGCAGCCTTCACATTAAAGTTGTGTGATTAGAGCGCCTGACTACCTAAAGGCGCACGGTTCTAATCAATTCACAAAAGGCTGAAACAAAGGAAATTTGTCCAGCTGCTAGCTGTCGTCTTCCTAAACCTCCCCTCCTGCCTTTTAATAAGCATCCCCACTGGCCAATGGCAAGAATACAGATGAAAATACTGTGGTTCATGACAGCTTCCTTCCTAATGTAACAGATTTGTGTTGCAGGATAGTTGTTAAGCTCGAAGTACACCTTTACAGCTATTGGGCTAGCAACCAATTAGTAGTAAAAGCAAGACAGCGCACTAGAATCGTCAACTATGATGAATAAGTAGCTCCCTTTACAGATACGATCTACTATGAAGATTGGATCTTTGACATGTTTCAGCACGTTTTACCCAGGCAACATGTTTGATGTAATCTCTTCAAAATCAGTCTGGCACATAAAACTGCTACAAAACCACAACATGACCATTTTACTTAACATACAAACATAAAACACGTGTTTTGTCAGATTTTATTAAATTTTAGTGAGATAGTTTAAATAGGTAGAATTTGTTATGTGTATGTTGTGTTCCTTCTCATTTTCAAATCCTCTAGTAAAGGAGTTCCCAAACTCTTGTTCTTATCTTATTATCTTTTAAATAACACATAATCATGCAAAAAAATAATACTAATAAACCTTTCATAGCCTCATGACTCAATACCAGGTTCTAAAATTATTTAAACACACCATCTCACTTATTTAACAACATGTTGAAGCAGTGTGAGAAAACCAAGGAACACCCAATGATTCATTTGCTTCAAGTTATTATAGCTTGTATAATAAGAGACTGTTGTAGATTTGCTGCTAGGCTTGATATGTGCATTACCCATATTCAACCAAGCTTTAGCCGTAGGACAGATGGCCTTACATTTGACTAAAACACTTTGGTATACAGAGGAGTTTATGGTAAACTCAGGGACTGCATTTTCAAACCAAGTCCAATTAACCACCCCTTCACTACGGTGCTTGACAGTTGGTATGAGGTGTTTGTGCTGATGGGTTTGGTTTTTACCAAACATGACACTGCATTATAGTCAAACATTGTCAGTTTGGTGTCATCTGTCTAAATGACATTGTCCTAGAAGTGGTTTGTTCACAAGATTTCCAGAACCAAGCAAACCAAAGCTGTGCTGCTGTTTTCTTTTTAGAGAGAAGACACTTTGTTGTGCAAACCTCCCAAACAAACCACACTTGTTCCATTTTGTATTGTGGTGAACTTTAACATTTCAATAAGCTAACTGAGTCGGAGATGTATCTTGTGGATTTTTTTGACAATCTTGAAAGCTCCAGACCAGCAAACTGTCAAAACCTCTGCTCTTATGGGGGCGCTCACACGTGCTGATTATCAGTTAATCAAGTGCATTTGATTAACAGCACCTGGCTGCTACTTACCCTTTTAATTCTGATTGAAGCACTAAGTGTGCACTACATTTTTCCAAAGAGTCCTGCCAAACCTGTCTGTTTCATACGACTGTGTAAGCTTTTAACAGAGGGTCTGCTGGGTTGATCCTGTTACTTTGGGACAGAATATAATATAGACAGAATTTGGTCATGTTTCCAGTCTGTGTCTTAAACTATGTAAATCATATTCAAAGCCCCCGCAGGAAGAGACATTTCCCAAAACTATTCCTTTAAAAGCCTGAATAAGGTGTTATTTTGTATTTTTATTATACTGCCAAGCAACTTTGTGTGGACTTTTTTTTTGTTTGTTTTGTTGTTGTTTCTTTCAACGAGATGACAAAAGAGCAAAGTGTGTAACAGCAACAGACAAAAAAATGGCACTAATAGCACAAGTAGGGAATTGGCTGTTTGTCCTTAAGAGCACAGCCTGCCAGAGAGGATCATAAACACATATTTTACAGACAGCAGAGGGAGAGGGTACAACAGAAAAAGTAGGTCAGGAAAGGAACATCCACCTGACACTCTAAAATAAGAAAAACATGTTTCACCTGTAGAGGGATGAGAGAGGCCTCTTGGAGCCCATCTTAGGCCTGTACGGTTTGGGCTCTCCAGCCATGTTGATATCTGGGGGAAAAAATGAGAGTTGAAGTCGTGGTGTGATAGAGAAGCAGTTTATAATATAAAGATCATCCACAACATACAGTTGGATCCACGTATATTTGGACAATTGCACCAATTTGTGTTGTTTTGCCTTTGTACACCATCACAGACAATACATTTTCAACTTCAGTTCAAGGGCTTTAACAAAAGAACTGCATTAATAGTTCAAGAGGCAAATGTTCAAAGGCAACACTTAAAGGTCCAGGTGAACACTTAAATCAAGAACACTCCCGAGGAGGTACACAGCAACACTAACACTGAGCAGTGCTGATTTTCTAACACTGGAATATTTCTAACATTTTGAGTTATTTTCCAGTGTTAGAAAATCAGCACTGCTCAGTGTTAGTCTTTGTTAATCTTCAAAACTGACTAGGTTACTTTTAAACATATAACACTGTCAAAAGTGTTAATTTAACACTCAACAGTGTTGTATTTAACACTCAGAGGTGTGGACCCATATAGACACTCTCCAGTGTTAATTTAACACTAGAGATTTTGCTGTGTAGGAGTATCACTGTCAAGGTCTACAATCAATAGAAGCCTTCATGAATAGGAGATGAATGCAGAACAAGGTGCAGACTACTGGTTAAACTCAGCAAGAAGGCCGGATTAGAATTTGCCAGAAAACATCTGAAAAAGCCTTTAGTTCTGGAAAAATATAATTTCTAAACTTGAGTGATGGGGCGACACAAGTATGACAGAGAGAAGCAGCTCATGATCGAAAGCATATTATCTGTCAGACATGGAGGAAATGTTACGGTGTGGGCATGTATGGCTGCCAGGGAAACCGAACGAAAGTGCTGGTTGATGTGACTGCTGGTAGAAGAAGCAAAATGTGCACGGGGCTGTACTCTCTGCTCACATTCAGCCAAATGCAGCCAAACTGCTCAGACAGTGCTTCATAGTGCAACTGGATAATGACCCAAAGCAAGCTGCACCCAAGAAACCCGAGAGTTTCTCAAGAGACAGAAATTGGATATTCTTCAATGACCAAGTCAGTCAGCTGATCCCAGTCCAACAGAGCATGCTTTTCAGCTACTGAAGACAAAACTGAAGGCAGAGACCCACAAATGAGCAGCTACTGAAGGTGGCTGCAGTAAAAGCCAAACAGAGCATCTGAAGCGAGAAAACACAGCAGCTGGTGTTTTTTATGAAAGTATAAAAAAATAATAATTATATCTAAAATTATTTTATCTTGTCCAACAGTTTTTTAAGCCTCTGAAGTGAGAGACTGTATAAAGACAGCTGCAATTTAAAAAAATGTTCAAGTGGGTTTTAATTAAAAACAACCAACATGATTTTTTCTGTCATTTAAGTTATTGTTTGGTTAATATCAATGCAAATATTGTAGCTATTTTCTCTGATAAAACATAACTTGATTTTCCAAGCACTGTAATTTTACCTAAATGTTACACAAAAAAATAGTTTTCTGCTTAGACTGGAAATATTCTACAGTGTGAAAAAAATAAATATTTATATTGTAATGAAGGACACCGATGCTTAGATCACAATATTATTTTTTATTTGAATATTTGCATGAACACATTTTAATCCTCTATATTCATATACATCTTATGACAGATGGAAGTAAATCTTCAATGTTTTAAGTGCTTATTTATGATGGTCATTCATGAGTCCAGCTTTTTTTTTCCCCTGGATGACCATAAACTTTTATTTTTATGAAACCAAAAGACTTCAAAGCAACTCACACCCAAAGCTTTTTAAAGAGTGGCACAAATAAAATTATGTTGCCAAGGAGACAATAGGATAATGGAAAATAAAGGGTAAACATATCTTCATATGTATACTGTAATAATTTTACAGTTATATTCTTATAAAAGCACTATACCTGCCTGACTCCAGGAGCTCTTTTTTAGCCTGTCCTGCAGAATACCACATCATACGATGTAGCACAGTCTTTATAAAGAGGCTCCCTGGGCATTTTCAAGCTCCTAAGAATTTTTGTTTAAAGGTTTGAACAAATTACAAACTGCATTTTTATGAGATTATCAGTGTGACAGTGTTTTCATTCAGAATTGCCATATTATGGGCCAGGGCTCATGTACTGTAGCAGTGTACATTCATCCTCACTGAACTAGACGTTCAGCAGAAACTGTGAATTTTAAAATTGTATGATCCTCACCCTCAGATCTCATGCATTAAAAGGAAGTTTATTTAAAATTTCTTAGCTGAATGGTCAAAGTGGGTTTTGAAGATGAAAGATGCTGTGAAAAGTGGGCCAACATCGTTTTAAATTAAAGAGCAGCAGTAAAAGTAAGAGGGTGGTTGCTAGCTAAAGCTAATTACGTCTCGTAGCATTTCTGAGTGCATGACCATATCAACGGGATCAAATAAAGAAAAGAGAGAGAGCGAGAGAGCGAGTGAGCGATGGTCAGTTTGTGTTTGTCATTAAAAACATTTATAACAGTCAGGATGTTATGGAGTATTCATTGCTACTTTACTGTTCCTGTTTCCTTATTAATGCAGTTATTTGATTTTATATGAAGAACAGGGATATAAAAGTGTAAACCTGCATGCTTTCTAGTGGCCAGGAGGTGGCGATCCAGGGGAAATGAAAAACAAATCGAGTTGTATAGAAGTCTATCAGAAAACAACCATCTAAGTCATGTTATTTATGATCTCCTTAAATGTTTTCCTGATTAATGTTTACTGTCTGCCTTTAACTTTAAGACTTCTGTAATAAAGCAGAACGTATATTTTTGTAAATTATGTAAATTATGGCCCCATTTAAGTAAAATAGACGATAAACAATGCCAGGCCTGCATTATAACTAGAGAGCTGCTGCCATATGAGCATTTGGCATTCTTAATTTGTAGGTCAGATTCAAATTCCTCAATTTAAGCTTTCCAAAAACAGCTGATGATGTCATAATAGCTACGTCCACCCTTTATATACAGTCTATATTTGGAAAAGAGCCACAAATCTTATCCCAAATGTTCTTATAGTTTAATTAGTTAATAGTTGAACAATGAAAATTCATCTTTTAAGACTTATCTATAGATTGTCTAGTGTATAACATGTAAAAACCCATTTGAAAAAGCCTTCCTCTATTTTCTGTTTTAATAGGTGTGAAATAGCAGCAATCTCATCAGAGATGAGGAAGTAGTGAAGAGCTTTTCTTAGTTTGAGCTGTCTGGGTGCCTATAGGGCTCTGTGTGATGAAACTAACCAGGTGAACTGGGGTACAAAACATTGATTCATTTAATGATTTCACTTCACTTCATTGTAACGCTCAAACAGACGGTGCATAGTTTGCAAGATTTTGTAAGAGCCTCGAAACAACCGAGACTGACTGTGCAAAAAAGGGACTTCAAGAAAGAAATCCCCTTCAAATGCATTAGCAGACAGCTGTGACTCATCTGCACGCACCTCATGACTACTGCCATGATTGACAGCCCCTTCTACCTGCCAAGAACGCCGGCGCATTAAACCCGGCTGGTATCATACCGCGTTTAGTCTGTCGGCTTTCCGATGTTGCTTCTGCTCAATCAGCCTCGAGTGCTGCTCAAGGTCATACACAAAAAACACTAACAAAAATCAAAACGCCACCTTCCCACGCATACACACAAATGAACACAGGGGTGAACCGACAAAGCAGCAACAGAGATCCCTTTCTGATGGATGAGTCACCCTTGAGTTGCAGAGATAAAACATCAGCTTTGGGGATCATGCAGCTGCAAGTGTCATGACTGGAGCTGGAGTCAAGTTGTTGTGCCTAAAGGGTTGCAGTCGCAGTTTTTTGGGCTTTTTCTTCCAGGGGTGGGGTAAGCATGAACTCTCTGCTGCAATATTAATGCACCAAGCTTATGAATTAAAGAATGGAAAATATCTCAGATAAATCCAAGCACTTCTCTCAGATTCACATTTTCACACAGAGTCCTGCAGCTGCAGATGTGTCTGGATCTTCCATCACATTGTCTACAGAATCACCATGGGTGCAATGGTTGGAGCCCAGACTGTCTCGCTCTTTCTCATTCTCTTGATTTCCTCCTTTCCTTCCTTGTTCTCCCTAATGGACTAATGGAGTGGGGGGATGTATCGCTAGCTCTCAGGTGCACAGGGACAGCTGTATCATTATCATTAGGACACAGGAAGACGTGAGGAATGGTTCGCACTGTAAAGCCTGCTCTTCTTTGGGCCCCTGCTAGAGTCATTAAAGAGAGAGTGGAGCACTAAAAAGCACTCTAAAATGAACACTGTCACCTCACAACACCCCTTCCCTCCACATCGCAACAGACACACATAGAGTCTCTGATTAATTACAGTCATTATACTAATCATATACAAAAGTCGCATGAATAAGTATATGTGTGCTTGCAGCCGAGACTTGTTTGTGCGTGTATTCATAAAAAGTTGAAGCGGGAGATAGAGGAGATAGAGCCTGTGTTGCTAAGCAATAGCCACTTAGGACTTGATTGATACTATAAACTGCATGCGGCATCGCATTGAAGGGGAATATAAAAATGTACTTTGCTGAAGCCATTATGTCCAGGTTGGCCACAAAAACCGATCACAGAGGTGAACTCAAAGTAGAAGAAAGTCTGTCTCAGACACTGTAAAAACACTGGCCGCCCTCTTAACTCCTGAGAGCATACTCCTATTGGCGCTGCTACAATGCAGAATGCACTGCTGTCAGAATATGATGAATAACGCACATCTACTCACTTTATCAAGTAAGCCTGTTCAAATGCTTTTTAAAGCAAATATCTAATCAGCTAGTCACGTAGCAAACACTTAAGGCATTCAGGCACGCAGACATGGTCAAAACAACCTACTGAAGCCCAACACAAGCATTAGAATGAGTATGGACAGTGATTTCAGTAAGTTGGTAAGTGTCATAGCTGAAATGGTTGATGCCAGAGAACTGCTTTGAGCTCACAGGAAGGCGACAATAACTAAAATACCAAAGGTATCCAGAAAACCTTCAAACAGATGGTCTACAG